CCAGTGACTAAAGGATTAACAAGGAAAGCTACATTAGTGTGTGTAACATTTGTTGACATGTAATACCAATGACTAAAGGATTAACAAGGAAAGCTACGTTAATGTGCATAACATTTGTTGACATGTAATACCAGTGACTAAAGGATTAACAAGGAAAGCTACACTAGTATATTTAACATTTGTTGACATGTAATACCAGTGACTAAAGTTACTGAAGCAGTAAATCCAATCATTTTTCTGGGTAACTTCAAGAATTGCAACAAATGAGTAACTTAGCAAGCCACATAATGCAGTTCATATTTTGAAGTTTCCTGGAACTTTTCCAGTGTAGGAACTGGAAGGGATATGTGCTTATGAAATAAGTGGCACAAAATTTGAATTACTATAGTTTAGAGGCATTGCTGTGTACTTAAAAGGTTCAAGGTTTGGCCTCATAGGCATGGGAATTTTCAATGTTTCACTAAGTTTCTATTCTGATTTTTCAAGACACCAACTGTGGATTTGGGGCATTATCAAATAGAATTGGGGCACAGCCCCCATGTGCTGGTGCCTAGTGATGCCTCTGCTACAGTTGAAACTGGGTTTTTGATTGTGATAAAATTACAATTTTGATCAAATCAAGCTACCTACAAACATCAGAGCAAAAAAGTAGTGAAGTAATAAATATAGCTAAGTTAATATACCCCTCTAAATAGGTACTTTCAAAGTCATAAGAGAAAACTATAGATTATAATCTATCATTCATGAGTTGTTGGGTACCCTTCCTGTTAGCAGTATATTTGGTCATAATACTAGTGATTTCTCAGGAGTTTTTGACCAGCTTAGGAGATTTAGGTGTCCTAAATCTATATATTAAGCTAACAGTATAAAATAATTCTCAAAATATATAATAGAAATACAGATATATATATATAACATTTTAACTTTACTTACAGAACACGTGAAACTGTTTGTTTCATGTTTTAATACCAGCTAACTGATTTACTCACCGAACATATAAAGCTGTTTGTTTCATGTTTTGATACCAGCTAAATGATTCACTCACCGAACACATAAAACTGTTTGTTTCACGTTTTAATACCAGCTAAATGATTCACTCACCGAACACATAAAACTGTTTGTTTCACGTTTTAATATCAGCTAAATGATTCACTCACCGA